CGAATTTGGGGAATGCACACTTGATCTCGTCAACGTCGAATGATGGATGATGTGCTTGTCAGACGTCATGATCACAGTGACGTACTCCCTGACGATAACGGAGGTTGTTGCCGCATACTGAACCGACTATCGGCATGTAGTCTAGAAACTGCAACTGCAAACCTAATCGGGCAGATTAGGTCCAAGGAAAAGGCATCAGGCTTGTTAGATGAGGCCGCACGTGACCTGGCCGAATGGAGAATCTCTAAAATGGCGCAAAGCTTGGCCAAGTGACAATTCTGGAGCGTAAAGACGTTAAGCCGTACACCGGCATATCAAAATTGGCAGAGCTTTTGAACAGCCATTCATGGAAATGCCACCGAAGTGATCGAACCTGCACGAGGAATACAATGCGTAACCAAAGGCTGTGAGAAGGCAGAAAAGGAACCCGGTTTCTGTCTCTTTGCTGGTTTTAAGTGTTTTTGTATTGCGAGCCAAACAGGGTCAGCAACAGTCGTGAATGCGCATTTCTCAGATACAAATATTTCTCTCTCCAATGAATTCCGCCATTTCTGACATTTACGTTATAACACCAAGAAGCATGTTTGAAATGGCCTAGATAAAGACGTCGGTGCGTGAGAGAAGCTGGTTCCGTGGAGATATACAGTTTACTGGGCGAATGCGAACTTTAGGATGAGCCCCAAAAAAGGCGAAGTGGGTTAGAATAGCCGTTTTTTGTTCATTTGCAGTAATCAATAAGTCCAATTCATTTCCGAGCTTAGAAAACCTTAACTTACAGCCCGAGTGAGTTGGTCATGGAGCCAAAGTGGATCGGTCGCGTCCCCTCCAGCAGCCGGATCCCTGGAGTGCGACACTAGTCACAGCTCCCTGGGTTGTCAGGCTGGCTGTAGCGGCAGTAGGAGTGAAGGACGGAAAGTCGGGATAGGAGGATAGGAGCCCCCTCCCTCCCCCTCGGTAAAACAAGTGACCTTGCTTTAAACTCCAGGCAGACTGGGGTCGGGGCTGGTGTCAGGTTTAGGGTCAGGGCATGTGAACAGGTACCTGCGGCGACTAGGATCTGGGTGTGTGAACTCAGTGTGCTATCATTACCAGGCCAAATCTCATATTGGAGGGGAAGACTGAATGTCCTCCGAATGAAGGGTTGGCAACGGTATACAGAAGGACCCCACTTAACTGTCGGTAGACTGTAGGTCGTGTCATGCGGGGTTTTATCTTGGCATCCATTTGCAGGCTGTTGCAGAAATTATACTGCCAATGAAGATTATTTCCCACGACCTCACACCTTAACTCGAAATCCGTTATTTTATGAAATTTACTTTTTGTTTATTGTTTAATTACTACTCTCATTTCCGTTGTCGTACATTAGCGTAGGATAAGACTTTCGATATAAATCCAGGCAATTTCTGTGTTTTCTCTCATTTCGTCAGCTTACTGTCTTACCTGCCGCCTCACCCATAAAACTCCCTTTACCATAAATCATGCATGGCACGATCCACAGTTTACTGACAGTTAAGTGGGGTCCTTCTCTATACCGTTTCCGAAGGGTTTATTGAACACGAAGCCCGAGTTATCCTCTCAGGCGACAGTGGCCTCTGACGGAGCCACGGCTGATGCTGACTGCGTCCAGTCATGCCTGAGAGTCCCTGCGACAGTGGTGTCAGCCGCTTTTGTAGGCTCATAAGCCAAGCTCCAGTGGTCTCCAATCAGTGTGTATTTCATTTGCCGAGGGATGGCGTCCTAGTGGCTTATATGCTGGTTGCAGGAGGGTGGCGCGTTCAAGTGGCGCATGGACAGCGGCGACTCCGTGTGGACGCAGGGGTGTCCGAGCTGAAGGTCGGTCGAGTGGTTCCAGGCCAGCGCGTCTGGAGGGGCTCACTGCAAGGGCCAATGACCTTGAGACAGCGAGCGTTGAACAATGGCACCAGACATAGCCATGATGGCTGCCCGCACCATACCCTTCCGGGAATTCAGCGCATGGCAACCCGTATAATTGGGGGTTCCTACGCTATGTCTTATCAACGGAAAAAGGTCTGCATGCTTCGTTTGGGCCTTAAAGGTTTGCGGCCTGCACGACTAAAAGCATTCAGTAAATGGCGTGAAAAACAGGGAGGCATAAAAGCATACAATGTATTGCGTTTGGGGGGGAGCAGGGAGGGCTTAAGATCAAACAGTTCGAGTGTGGTATGTCGGCAGTGGGAAAAGCATATGCCTATGTGATATGGTTCTCAAAGAATGAGTCTTTACTGCTCAATACGGGAAGAACGCCCAGCATAAGAAGTCAGCGGACGACTGAGTTCGTACTACAAAACGGCGGATTATGCTGCCACAGAACAGCACTAAGGCCTTGCGAATAACTCAAAGGGAGCCAGTTCTGGATGTCCAAGAAATGACCTAACTCAATAAATGTGGAGATCGGTGTTGAAGTTGGTTTGACGGTACATACTTAGTGTAGTTAGTTTCGTTCTTAGAATTGATTAAAAGCCCAGAAGGTTTTTTCTAAAAAAAAATCATGTTAGGTCTGTTTTATTGGGAGGAAAGAGGTCGAGATTGGGCAAAATTTTACGTTTCCGCATATTCACGTAATTTCCTCTGCTGATAAGCAGCACCTATTAAACCTTTTTTTTGCGCGCGTTGCGTTATACAGAGACTTTTATATAACCAGGAAAACTATCAAAGAAATCCATTCTGGAACCGGAAATTGTGATTTTGGGTTCATGAAACTCAGACCAAGGCAGGTATGCGAAATCTCGTTGTTTTCATAAGACAAGAATCAATTTGTTCTTTAAAATTTCTTTTCAACAAAACTTTAACTCTTTTGTCATGAAACGCGGTAACAAGCTTGTTTTACAGTATTTGTTTTACCACACCGAGAATTAGTAGACGTAAACACATATATATATATATATATATGGATAGTACGCTACATGCTGCCACATTTCTGTCCCACGCCGTGCAACGAAGATATCGGTACAATTGCTATCGGAAGCTGACTTTGAGTGGCAGCCGAAGAACTGCCGCATGCGTCGTTAGGTAGTACCTTCAATAGTAGATGGGTCACGCTGTGGAAGATTATTAATAACAAAACAGTGCCTAGAGCTAAGCAAGGTGAACCAACACGGTCCACGAATAGGTAAGACAACGATTTTATTCGTCAAATCCTAGAAATTATCGTTATATACTCCTTAAGACTATTCACAGGGAGCACCTGTCAACATTTTCTTTGCGCACAACTAGAAAAAGAATGAAAGAATTCGACCCCCATCAGCAAAATGCTATGACAGTTTGTGCAAAATGGCTATCTGAGGGCATTCATAGGTCGCTGCTACGCGGTCGTCCCCAGAGGACTCAAACAACAACACTACGGACGATATGGCATTCTCTGCCATACATCAAGGGCGTTTGAGAAGTGACCGAGCGCATTGCCGCGGAGCTAGGTGTTGGAATTGCACATCGTCCCAAAGCCACCATGCGCAATAGGGTCATGAAAATTAAAGACCGGTTATAGTCTGAAGGGCAATCTGGAGTGGTGTATCGCATCCCGTGTCAAAACTGTCCTTGTTACTACACAGGCCAGACTGGAGGCATGGTCGGATAGCCCACACACGAACATAAGCTGGCTGTGCGACGCATTATAAGAAATCAGATCAGAATGCATGCTGAGCTTATTTCTGCGAAGTCTTACCGCCCGATGCGCCGCGGATTCCGACTTACAGTACGTGACCTATCTCATGAAATCTGATAACGGAAACTGATCAGAGAATTTCTGGACGCCTTTAATGTTGAACAGTTTGTTCGCTTATCCATTTTCTTCAATAAGATGACCTTTACTTGTGAAGAAATTGTGTTTACGTAATTATATCAAGTAAAATATCAGTAAATTTTAACGAAAATGGAAGTAGGAATATAGTTGCGCTCGTCTAGTACTCTTTAATAGGGGTGTCAGCGGTGGGTTCACGTAATGGTCGTGGTGGTCGCTCACTTGCTTGCAGGTGAGACTGCGCCTAGCGTCCACTTGCTGGCACTCAACTCTCACCTGTGGCTCCACGTAGCTGAACTCTGCTCAGCGGCCACACCCCGGGCAACCGTCTCGACCGGCGGGCCAAACCAGGCGAGGGGGCCCTGTGCGCTGTGCCGTGTGCACAGGGTTTGCGGATTCCGCTGGATGGAAGGTCGGATGGAACCTTGCGTCGGCACCATCGTGACGTGGTTCGTCTCTGCACGCCGCTGGACAGCCGGTGACGGGATGGATCTCCGCATCGACATCGCCTTGACGCGCCCACCTACGCCGTCAGAGACCGCGGCTTACGGCGAATTCGAGTCGCTCTCCACTACAACCCGAAGTCGTGGTCCCATAGTGGAGTTCGGCCGTGCCACAACGGCACATGGCAGCCCTATTCAGGAATGGCACTGCCAGCCTCCACGAGGGGAAGGACCTAGAAAAGGTGGAGTAAACATTGCTGGGTACCACGCCGTCTCCAGGCTAGCCAGGGCCGCAGACGTCAAATCATGGTCGAAACAATCAAAATCGAAACAACAACAATACCAATAACAACAACAACAACCATACTCATTCTCCTCATCCTACCTCTTCATCCTCATCCTCTGCCTATTCTTCTGCCTATTCTTCTTCTTCTTCGTCACCTTCTTCTCCATCTCCCTCCCGACGCCCCACTCGTTGTCACCAGACTGGCAGGGTGAACCCGCTCACTCTGGCAGTCTGGAATGTTCGTTCCCTTTTAGACAATCCGAGGAGCAGCCGACCGGAACGGAGGACGGCGCTAGTGGCACGAGAACTGGCGCGCTACAAGGTGGATATCGCCGCACTCAGCGAGACCCGATTCTTCGAACAAGGCCAACTGGAGGAGGTGGGTGCCGGCTACACCTTCTTCTGGAGCGGTTGACCCAGGACAGAGCGATGGGACGCGGGTATCGCCTTCGCCATTCGGAAAGACATCGTGGGACGACTGCCCTGTTTGCCGCAGGGCATCAACGATCGCCTGATGAGCCTCCGCCTGCCTCTCTGGGGAGGCAAATTCGCCACCATCATCAGCGCCTACGCTCCGATGATGACCAACCCCGACGCAGCAAGAGACAAATTCTACGAGGACCTGCACGCCCTCTTGGCGACTGTGTCGAAGGCGGACAAGTTGATTGTCCTTGGTGACTTCATCGCCCGCGTTGGCACAGACCATACTGCCTGGAGAGGAGTGCTGGGTCCCCACGGTCTCCGCGGCTCAAACGACAATGGTCTGCTGCTTCTCCGCACCTGCGCAGAACACCGCCTCATCCTGACGAACACGTTCTTCTGTCTGCCGGAGCGAGAGAAGGCCACCTGGAGTCATCCTCGGTCGCGTCAGTGGCACCTGTTGGACTATGTCCTCGTCCGGAGTCGAGATCAGCGGGACGTGCTGGTGACAAGGGCGATTGCGGGTGCTGAAGGGTGGACCGACCATCGCCTCGTCATCTCGAAGATGCGTATTCGCCTACAGCCTCGCAGGAGACCACAAGGTAAGCGATCCCCAGGTAAGCTGAATGTTGCCTTGTTGTCTGTGCCCGCTCACCATCTTCATTTCAGCAATGAGCTAGCTCAACGGCTAGACAACCTTCCTATCGCTGCCGCCGCCGATGCTGCCGCTGCCGAGAAGGCCTCCGTGGAGAACCGCTGGTGTCAACTGCGAGACACGGTCCAGTCGACGGCGCTCGCCGTCCTCGGTCGCGCACGCCGTCAACACCAGGACTGGTTCGACGACAACGACGCCGCCATCAGCAATCTGCTCGCCGAGAAGAACCGCCTACACAAAGCCTACGTAGACCACCCCACTGACGACAACAGAGTAGCCTTTTGTCGCAGTCGCCGCCACCTTCATCAACGACTGCGCGAGATGCAGGACGCCTGGACTGCTCGCAAAGCTGAGGAGATCCAAGGGTACGAGGACCGCAACGAGTGGAAGAACTTCTTCTCTGCGATCAAAGATGTCTACGGTCCGCCGACGAAGGGCACTGCTCCTCTCCTCAGCGCCGACGGCAACACTCTCCTGACTGAGAAGACCCAAATCCTACAGCGATGGGCCGAGCATTTCCGAGGCGTCCTCAACCGACCCTCCGTCATCTCCGACGCCGCCATCGAGCGTTTGCCACAAGTGGAGACCAACGTGGACCTCGACCTCCCGCCATCTCTCCAGGAGACCATCAGGGCCGTGCAGCAGCTCTCCAGCGGGGAAGCACCCGGATCGGACGCAAGCCCTGCTGAGGTCTACAAGCATGGAGGTCCCCAACTGATGGATCACCTGACTGCGCTCTTCCAAGAGATGTGGCGTCAAGGTAAAGTCCCGCAAGATTTCAAAGACGCAACCATCGTGCACCTCTACAAGCGCAAAGGGAATCGCAAAGTCTGCGACAATCACCGCGGCATCTTCTTGCTGAACATCGCCGGGAAGATCTTCACCCGCATCCTTCTCAACCGCCTCAATAACCACCTGGAACAGGGCCTTCTGCCGGAAAGCCAATGCGGCTTCCGTCGTCATCGTGGGACCACGGACACGATCTTTGCCGCTCGTCAATTTCAGGAGAAGTGCCAGGAGATGCGACCCACCTGTACTCTACCTTCGTGGACCTAACGAAAGCCATTGACACGGGGAATCGTGAAGGACTGTGGAAGATCATGCAGAAATTCGGCTGTCCGGAGCGATTCACTCAGATGGTGCGTCAGCTGCACGACGGTATGATGGCGCGAGTCACGGACAGAGGAGCGGTCTCGGAGGCATTCGCAGTGACCAACGGAGTGAAGCAGGGATGCGTGCTGACGCCTACCTTCTTCAGTCTTATGTTTTCTGCCATGCTGACGGACGCCTATCGCGACGAACGCCCCGGGATCCGAATCGCCTACAGGATGGACGGTCACCTCCTGAATCAACGGCGGATGCACTTCCAATCGCGCGTATCCACAACCACCGTTCACGAACTCCTCTTCGACGACGACTGCGCCCTGAACACCATCTCGGAAGAGGAGATGCAACGGAGCATGGACCTGTTCTCCGCCGCCTGCGAGAACTTCGGTCTGGTCATTAACACGCAGAAGACGGTGGTGATGCACCAACCGCGACCCCACTCAGTCACAGCCCCAACGCGCCGCCGCAAATCAGCGTGAACGGAACCCAAGTGCAAGTCGTGGAGAACTTCCCGTATCTGGGCAGTACTCTCTCCCGCAACACCAAAATCGACGACGAAGTCGCTCGCAGGATCTCGAAAGCCAGTCAAGCCTTCGGCCGCCTCCAAAGCACAGTTTGGAATCGTCACGGTCTTCAGCTGAGCACGAAGCTGAAGATGTACAAGGCCGTCATCCTGCCGACACTACTGTATGGAGCGGAGACTTGGACGGTGTGCGCAAAGCAGGCACGTCGTCTGAACCACTTCCACCTCAGATGTCTTCGTCGCATCCTGAGGCTGAACTGGCAGGATCGAATCCCCGACACTGATGTGCTGGAACGGACGGGAATCCTCAGCATCTACACCATGCTGAGACAAATGCGGTTGCGTTGGAACGGCCACCTGGTGCGCATGGACGACGAGCGACTGCCCAAACGACTCTTCTACGTAGACGTTGCCACGGGCTCTCGCCGCCAAGGAGGCCAAATTCGTCGATACAAGGATACTCTGAAGTCCTCCCTGAAGCAGCTGAAAATTAACCCGACCAACTGGGAAGAGCTCGCCCTCGACCGACCGACCTGGAGGAGGAAAGTAAAGACAAGCGCTGCGATCTACGAAGCCAACCGCATCGCTGCCGCCAAAGCAAACGTGAAGCCCGCAAATCACAACTTCGCCCAGTAGGCAACGCCGCCGCACAACCGCTTCCAACGTGTCCTCGATGTCAACAGACATTCCGGGCTCGAATTGGACTTGTCGGACATCTTCGGATTAACTGAGCCTCTCGAACGGCACCAACCATCGTCCCCCCGCCCGCCTCTTCCTCCTCCTCCTCCTCTCCGCCGCCAACTAACTCTGACAATTATTCTGACCCACCACTTCCATCATCATCATCATCATCATCATCATCATCATCATCATCATCATCATCATCATCATCATCATCATCATCATCATCATCATCATCATCATCATCATCATCATCATCATCATCATCATCATCATCATCCTCATCATCATCCTCCTCGCCCACTGCTCCAAAGGCGGCCGCTCAGGCGACTGTCCCGCGCACAACAACCGACACTACCACCACCTCCCCCGACTCCAGCGATGAGGGTCAGGACTGCGACCGTACCTTCACCTCACACATCGGCCTGGTCGCTCACTTGCGAATCCACCGCACAGAGACTGGCGAACCAGTGCCTGGAGCGCCAACCTATATCCACCAAGCTCACGTCCACTGCTCACACTGCCCTCGCACTTTCAGGCATCGCATGGGCCTATTCGGCCACATGCGCATACACGACGACCTGCGGTAGACAACCGCCGGCTACACCACACCACAACACCCTCCCTCCCTGCCTCCACCACCACCACCAACACCCCACCAGAAATCAACACTCACACACCTCATGCACCCAACTGCCACCTCCCACGCAAGTGGGAAGTGTGCATCTCGACTCGGTCCCCATGCGGCTTCGGCTGCATGGTGACTTGAGTCTGAGACTATCCCGACACGTCAAGCGTCGTGGATAGGAAGGTTGCTGATTGACGCCCCCACTCGGTCCACGCAGTTCGTCACGTTGTGTGTGTGTTGTGTGGAGTGGCGGACTGATGGGCTGGGCGAGGGGCTGAAACAGCACCTTCCACGGCACTCTCACGCAAGTGAGAGACACGCCGTTCAACCCCCGTTGTGTGAAATCCTGGTGTTGTGTGTATGGGGGGCCAGGTCGTGCCGTGGCGCGCGCAGTCATGGTCAGTCGACCATTCCCCACTCCAGTCTGCTGACCGGCTCGGACAGCGGCTGGGGTGTGGGAGTGGGAAGGGAGAGTGAGGTCGACGACTCAGCGCACTTTCTCCTCACTATAAACAATCTGACGCGCTTAAAGCTATCACGGTGCACTAAAAGCCGTGGCTTGGAAGGTTGCCACCTGACGGGGTAACTTGGACCTCCTCCTTGACCGGAGGCGGTCTGAGAGTCAGGCTGCAATGGCTCCTTTTTAATGTGGCCTTTATGGCACTCCCATCACAGTGTGGGATCCGAGCCAGGCGTTGGCGGCACGCCCAGGTGCGGCTTCGGCCGTGCCAGCCTCCAAATCTCTCTTGTGTTGGTTGAAATCCTGGTTATTTGTTGTGTGGACCAGGGGGTGTGGTGGAACGCCAAGGTGAGGATCCGTCCGAGCCATCCACCTGCGGCCTCCCTCGTCTCCGGTCTTCTTGACTCTGTCTTGACACCGGGCTCGGACGAGGGAGGAGGAGAGAGTGTAGGTAGATGCTACGCAAGTCTACCGGCATTATAAACCCCTGCGTAAGTCACCGTCCCTGCTCCCATTGCTGCTGCAACTGTGGGGCACACGGTGGACATCATCGAAACTGATGGTCGAACTCTCATTCACATGTCCTAGACTCCGGTTGAGCATTTCAGCGACTTTTTCATTGAAAGGATAGTAATTTGCCCGCGAGAGTTTTAACAAACAGATTTAGCCGAAATTGAAAATGTATTTAATGTCCGATGTCAATCATGGTGATTAATCTGCTAAGACGAAAGGTTGTCTTAAGAAAACTAGAGGTTTTATCAATCTCTAAGTGTCAAATTAGCAGATCTGTGGGATTTGGTGCTCAAAAGTGCAGTAATAACGCAGATAGGGATTCCTTCGTTAAAGTGGGCTGAAATTGTTTTGCCGTTTGGAAAATTCTACCTGATGTCACTGTGATGACCACCACGGAATGGTCATTTCCAGCTTTAAACACATAAAGCACTACTTTTCGTGTAGTTTAGCTTCTGTGCACCGACCGGCCTCATAGCACGTCACCTCATGAACACGGTTGTTCCTACGACGTCCCCATCGGTGAAATCAAGCAAAATCCAGCTTCTCTTGGTGAACCCCATCTCATTTGCATCAAAGAAATAAAATTAAAACCGAAACACTGGAAAACTGTTTTGGAATCTACACTCGGAATGTAGGCAGATGATAAGCCGTCATATATGAAATCACACTAATTATTAAACGATATTAAAATGTAAACTTCACTAAAACACTGTTATTAGACGTTATTTTATGTCTTCTTTCATATTTGCTATGTTTTTCGCATGAGAATACATTCTATACATTTAAAAACGAAGTTTACTAAATTAGAGCCATTTCTGACGTTTTCGGGATATTGCGCTTTTCAAAATTAATCGGAATTTCTAAACAACGCAACACTGTCTTTAATGTTTCTCTAATGTTTTTAATTCTTCTAAACTTGTACTTAATTAACATAGACATTTGACTTATGAAATGGTGTCGGTTTGCGAGTGATTGGCAGTCATTCGTAAATTTCGGCACATTTCATGAGGTAGGTCACTAGCTGTATGTCTTGTCGCGCATCGGCTTTTCGAGCTCCTGTATTGCCATTCCTGGCGCGCTATCTTACGTGTGGAGAGATAGAAATACAAAAGCTATGACTTGAACTGTCCCCATAATAATCCCTACCTTTGTGTTAAAATTTTGACTCTGGAATAATCTATTAACTTATTTACTGCCCATAGTGAATGGAGCCAATATTTTGCTGAAAATTTTGAATTTATGATTGCAAAATAAAGCGAATTCCTCTCCCTCTCTGTCTCTCAAGGCATTTGTATCAGTTTCAGGGTTGGACTGACTTATGTGAACGTCTAAATAGAACCTGAGAACAGGGGCCGTCTGCAACATGGGTGGCTTTGAGCCACCTTCCAGTGAAATAAGGGGTAGGTTCAAGGTAAAAAATAGAGTTAAGTTGAAGATTAGGTTTAATGTCAGAAGGGCGCTCACCGATCATTTTTACGGAAATTACTCGCCCAGTTCAGCCTTAGGACTTTCTCTCTCGAGCACAACCAGCAGTCGCACAGCAGCGCATGATAAAGGCAGAATGATATTACCGACAAAGATAAGGGAGATTGGAATGGCCATTTCTGGTTAATTATCTGTCGTCAGCCAGGCATACCTAACCCTGAAGTGTGGAACACCCGAGGCTCGATCCCGCGACCTGTTGATTAAAAGTCCAATGCCTCTAACCACTGAGCTACCGGCTCGAAGTCCTGTCGGTTGCGATCGGGAATATACAATTCTAAGGGTGGGGGGCGCTCACCGATCGTTTTTACGGAACTCACCAGCGGGAACGAATTCCAAGTGTTCCACACTTCGGGTTGGGTTTTCCTGGTTGACGACGGCTAATAAGCCAGAAATGGCCACTCCAGTCATCCTTATCTTTGTCGGTAATACCATTCTGATTAGGTTTAAGTTCAAATCTGAAGTTAACGGTAATGTGGGCCAGGATCATGTTAAACATTCCGATAGGGGCTATTTTTAATTGCTGTGTTAAGTTCTAGGGTAGGGTTAGGGTCAAAATAAGGGAGACGGTTTAGTTTTACTAGGATTATTTTTGAAGTTAGGGTACGGGGGTATTTTGCCTTTTCTAAAATTATGCGCCGGTCCACCTTTTTACTTGGGCTGGGTATTCCTATTTCCATGTCCTGTTTAGACGTCCACATACGTCACTCCCGCCGGTTTCAGATATGATGGAGATTTTTCGTAAATCTACTCATGTATATTGCCTTACTTCCTACTATAATTCAAATGAGTTTGGGAGACTATGCTATCCGATATGAACTAGGGCGCTGGCAGGGTGGTGTTAACGTTCGCATTAAAGCAGCTGGGTTCATTTGATACCTGAAAGCACAATCAAGCGTCCGAAGTTCCATCAGACAAATATTTTGGAAACTGCCCGTGTTTCTGACAGACGGAGCCACTTTTCGGACCACCAGGTCCTTCACGTACCTATTACCAAACCCTTTTCTGAAAGTCATTATTCGTCCTTGCCGCCAAACCGAAAGCAACCGTTGGCACAGATTTTATGGTGTTTTCGATGTTGCGGTGTGGATGAGAGATAACTAATATTTTCAGGCTCTCCGCTCATTAAACAATCTCGAGATGTGAGAAAAACTGCCCGCAATATGGGGACAGATGAGAAACGGGTGACAAAGGCCGCGTGTCAGATAGCCGTTTCTCAGGAGAGGATCCTGATTAGCCTATGAATGAATCCATCCCCCTCCCCCTCTCACCTAGCCTATGTCAAGACCACCCTGTTGTTGAACTGTCAACACTGACGTGTGAGTCTACGCAGGTTGCAATTGTCAGGGCGTGAGACGTCGTCAAGCCGACAGCTGTACCTCAATGCGCATGTACAGTGTCCGGCGGACTCCCTGTACCGGTATTTACGTAGCGCAGATCGACACCTACGCGGGTGGTCAGATATATAACTGCGCACATTTAGATCGCCCTCCAATCGTAACCCCTTTTCCGACTAAACATGACGTCGTTTGCATGAGAGTGGGCGTCCCAAATGCTTGGAAGGGACAGCAACCTGTCAAACGCGGCTCCGCATGCTTAGCTAGGGAAGTGACAGTTGAAATATCCCTCGGAGGTTAGCAGGTGGGTAATGTGATGGTGACAGAAGAGCGTGCCAAGGCAAGCAATTGAACACCCTAAATTAAAAAATAATACAAAACCCTATCAGACAAGAGTGTTCTGCGGAAAATTGGAATGCTCAGAAAACCGAACCAGCAGAACAGCTGAAGATCGTGAACAGGGAGTCTTGTCTCCTGAGTGTAAAACCTTCCGATGCCTTTCCAAACCTGCTGATATCCCTCCAAACTGCTCGAG